GGATCATGGATCAGCTGCCTCCTGCACGGCCCCCACTGGGGATCGAGCCCACAACCCCGGGCCTGTGCCCTGACCGGGAATTGAACCGTCACCTCCTGGTTCATAGGTTGGCGCTCAGCCCCTGAGCCACGCCCGCTGGGCCCTGTGTGTTTTATAAACTCGCCCGGGGCCTTCACTCGCTCTAATGTGTTTGTCGACTCTTAGATGTGGGAATGCTCCATTGGACCACCTGCCTCTGAGCAGAATCACCACCATGAGGAAGAGGTTCAGGTCAGTGGGGTTTTTTGATGGTGTTTCTGGGCTCCGCTGGGAGGTAGCTGAGTGCCCTAAGCTGGGGAGTAGCTGGACGGGGAAAGGAGTAGCTGGACGGGGAGAGGAGTAGCTGGACGGGGAGCGGAGTAGCTGAACGGAGAGGAGTAGCTGAACGGGGAGAGGAGTAGCTGAATGGAGAGGAGTAGCTGAGCGTGGAGAGGAGTAGCTGGACGGGGAGAGGAGTAGCTGAACGGAGAGGAGTAGCTGAGCGTGGAGAGTAGTAGCTGGACGGGAGAGGAGTAGCTGGATGGGGAGAGGAGTAGCTGAGCGTGGAGAGGAGTAGCTGAACGGGGAGAGGAGTAGCTGAGCGTGGAGAGGAGTAGCTGGGCGGGGAGAGGAGTAGCTGGGCGGCGGGAGAGGAGTAGCTGGACGGGGAGAGGAGTAGCTGGGTGTGGAGCGGAGTAGCTGAACTGGGAGAGGAGTAGCTGAATGTGGAGAGGGGCTGAGTGTGGGGAGGACCAGGAGCCCCGATATGACGGATTTCTGGGGCTGAGATGAGAAAGGGAGTTGGGGGGATTTATTTTGGGCTTCCAGACTCTGTGGGAGGAGGGGAAACAGTCAAGATTCAAAACCACCAGGCGAGCCGGGGACCCCGGTGGCTCCGGTACGGGAGGAGCCATCGCCACCCTCGCCTGACCCCCGGGGGCTGGATGCCATGTCCCTGCCGTTCTCCCCGCAGGAACGGGCTGGGGCCTGTGAAGGAAGGGGAAGCCCAGTACGCCGTGGTCCACTGCACCGGCTACATCAAGGCCTGGCCCCCGGCAGGTGAGCAGAGCCTGCTGGGGAGAAGTTGAGCGTGCAGAGGAGTAGCTGCAGGGGGGGAGGAGCAGCTGCCTCTGGCCCTCGGATGGTGAAAACGGGCGAGAGGAAGGGTTGGCGAGGACGGGGAGCGCTTGGAACCCCCACGTATTGCTGGCGGGAAGGTAAAATGGTGCAGCTACTTGGCGAAAACCGTCTGAGATACTCAGATGTTAAGCATTATGACTGGCCCAGCGACTTCCCTCCTCAATATATGCCTAAGGAAGTTGAAAACATGAAGAAACGTGTATGTGAAGAGAGAGAGATTGATCAGCTGCCCCCCAGTATGAGCCCCGACCGGGGAGCAAGCGGGCAACCTTTTGATGCACGGAATGATGCTACAGCCAGTGAGCCACCCAGCCAGGACTAGATATACATACATACATACACACACACGCACACGCACACTAGAGGCCTGGTGCATGAAGTTATTGCAAGAGTAGGCCTTCCTTCCCTGGCTGCTGGCACTGGCTTCCCTCCAGCACCTGGGACCCGGCTTCCCTCGTAGCCCCGGCTTCATCTAGGACAGCGGTTCTCAACCTGTGGGTCGCGACCCCTTTGG